GTACCATACTGGTCATATTTCTACAGCCTCCCATAGCTGTCAGATACATGTACATGTACCATACTGGTCATATTTCTACAGCCTCCCATAGCTGTCAGATACCATAACATGTACCATACTGGTCATATTTCTACAGCCTCCCACAGCTGTCAGATACCATAACATGTACCATACTGGTCATATTTCTACAGCCTCCCATAGCTGTCAGATACCATACAGCCGTACTCTTTTAGTTTTTTGTGTTTTTTGTTTTAGTAGAGTTTTACGGCACTCGCAACTGCATAAGGCCTTTATGAGTGCCAAGGGGTGAATGTCAACAGAGAAATCCTTACAGGGTATCAGATCTCCCAGAGCAGATGTCAATTTGGACATGTAATTCTTTGTAAACTGATAGTCACCCCTGACTTTTTTTTTAACTTTGCGAGGAGTCGGGGGAAGGGGGTGGAGGGGATTCTGGGAGCCAGTTGTATCTTTTTGCTCGTGAAAGGCGGGATGGTTATTTGGGCCTTTCTTGTAATAAATGGAGGAGGAGGAGGAGGAGGAGGAGGAGGAGGAGAAAAGGAGGAGGAGAAGAAGAAGAAGAAAAGGAGGAGGAGGAGGAGGAAGATTTGGTACATAATCAGTGTGAATCAATAAATACCTGACAAACGATACCAAGAAGAGCACACGTCTCGACTCGCCTGTCTGACCGATCAAACTGACCAGACTAGTCGGACGAGGGTGCCCCTACCTTAAGCATCGTGCACAATCCCACAGCACACACCACAAGACAAGCGTGGACAGTCACGATGTCCCAAGGTCACCGTTTCTTCACGGACTGACCCAGATTTTGCTGACCTCCCTCACACACCTGGCCCCACACAAGTAATTAGATCTAGTATGTTTTGTCTATTTTTGTTTCGATTTTATTTTTTACTGAAGGTGTTTAATTAGGTCATTTAGTCACAGAAGGCGGGCTTCCACTGTGCCTTTTAGTTTTAGGAGAAGTTTTACAGCGCTTGTAACTGCATAAGGTCAAATGAACGCCGAAGATTAGATGTGTTACAAGAGAGTAACAAACACAAAAAAGGAAAAGGAGATATCAGGACGATAGAAAGAAGGAGCAAATCCCACCAGAGCACTCACCAACCATCCACTTTTAATGTAGGTGACCTAAGCTCTCCGCTGGCGACAGAGAGTTGAGAGAGACGTCTCTTTCTTCCCGCGACACCCAAAAGGGTATAAGCGGCGGATAAAAGTCAAAGTGAAGTCAGCTTAATTTAGTCTTTTAGTTTTGGAAGGCACGCTTACTTCAACAGTGCCTGTCAGAGCCAACCAAGGCGGAGATTGACAAAACGTCCCAGCACACAGACGGCCGGAGATAGGTTCTATTCGTTACAAATTCTCCCCTCGTGGGAATCGAACTCGGGTCTTTTGCGAGAGACGGCGGAGAGCCTAACCCCTACACCATAAACGCTGCTGATGTCAGCATGTATGTACAGACACAAACACACATTCACACACACACACACACACACACACGCACATACATACATACATACATACATACATACATACATACATACATACATACATACATACTTACATACATACATACATACATACATACATATATACATACATATATACATACATACATACACATGCACAAAGTATATACACACACACACACACACACATACACACACACACATACATACACACATACACGCAAATACATACATACATACATACATACATACATACATACATACACATGCACAAAGTATACACACACACACACACACACACACACACACACACACACACACACACACACACACACACAAACACTCAACATAAACACAAAAAGCCATAGTCCCGAGTCTGTGATCAGTACCAATATATTTCACATTCTTGATCATAAAATATTGTAACAATATAATAGTTAGAAAATCTGCAGTCCACGTAATAATAATAATAATAATAATAATAATAATAATAATAATAATAATAATAATAATAATAATAATAATACAAATGGGAGTTTGACATAATTAGCTGAAAGACATGACAATTGACATAATTATGTGTCGTACTTTCGTGTCAGTTGGACTCATCTCCTGTCCTCTCATTTTAGAATCCTCAAGTCGTTCATTTTTCTGTCGTTCATTTTGTGTACACCAATGAGCGACTGTTTATGTTCATCCTTCTGTCGTTCAATATGTACACCAAAGACCGATTGTTTATGTTCATCCTTCTGTCGTTCAATATGTAGGCCTACACCAATGAGCGACTGTTTGTGTTCATTATTCTGTCGTTCATTATGTGTACAGCATAGACCGACTGTCTCTATATTCATCCTTCTGTCGTTCAATGTGTGTACAACAGTTAGAGACAGTGTGTGACAGTAAGTCATCTCAAAACACCAGCATGAATCATTAACTTAACATTTACGGGGCGGTTCACGGATAAAAAAACAACAATGATTGCAAACATTCCGAGCCCGTATATTTACACCGTAATCTTAGACAGTCATGATGTGTGTGTGTGTGTGTGTGTGTGTGTGTGTGTGAGTGTGTGTGTGAGTGTGTGTGTGCGCGTGAGTGTGTGTGTGTGTGAGGCCAACAGCCAAATCATTGCACCATGATACTGATACCCAGTGAAATGTACACTGCAAGTAAAGTTAAAATCATGAGAATCCAAGAATGCGTTTTTAAGAAAAATTTAGTGGAGGTGGGGGAGGGGGGCAGGAACGGGCATGGAGGGCAAGGGGGGGGTGTCGCGCTATATCTTATAGTAGAGATGGACATCTAACTCTCACTGGCAAAATTGAAGGCAAACGAGGCAGGGGTAGGCCCAGAGCAACCTACGTAGGGAACCTAAACAAATGGGTAACGGGGAAAGATCAGGGAAACGTAGCTTTTTGAGAGCATCCGAGCAAAGGAATGAATGGAGAACCATGATCGCCGATGTTGGTTGCAGATTTGGCACTGGATGAAAGAGAAGTTCCCCCGAGAGGGAGAGAGGTAGTCCGTGGAGAAGATTCCCGAGAGCTGTCAGACCGAGGAAAGGACGGGGGTACAGGAGGATCTTTTAAGTTCTAGGAACGACAACACTTTTCTCATTGGGCTGGCTTTTCCCCGAGTCACCCCACACTGGGAGAAATGGCTTTAGT